CAACCTGGAAGGACCCACGCTGACCCTCTCTCTGCTGCAGTTCCCTCCTAGAGATAACATGGACCACGCTACGGATTAGTGAGGTGGTTGTGAGAGTTGAGTGTGTGAGTACATGTTGAGCATGTAAACCAGAGCGGCACAGAGCATGCAGATCCTTCGTGTCTGTGGCCCTGGATGACGGTAAACACGGTAACGATGTCGCCCCCTGCCTGCCACGCTTTGTTTCGGTAACGATGTCGCCCCCTGCCTGCCACGCTTTGTTTCGCCTCTGCCTGTCAAATGTGCCCCCCTTCTGTCTCAGGCCCTAGAGAGCGACTTTACTGAAGCCATTGAAGCCATGGGATGAAAGAATTTGTGAGGGAGATAGTGTGAAAGTCCAGGCTCTGCTGCTCCCTCTTTTCCTCTGGAATGAAGACTGAAGCATAAAATTAGGATTAGGGTCTGAGGTGGGGGGTAGGGCAGGGAGGCAGAGTGTGTGACTGGAAGTAACCCAAACTAAGTGTTATGAAATGCCTCAGGGAAAACCTGTTACTTTGTGTGCTAATTAAAACATAAACAAACAAACAAATAAATATAAAGTCAAGACATATAGCAACAAAATATCTACCTCACCAGAGTTGTCAGGAAAAAAACCAGGTCATTTGTAAAACTGTCTATTAAATTCTTGGTTTGGCTTTGGCTTTGGTTTTCCTTAGCAGCCTTCCTTAGCTGTTTTAGGACTCGCTGACTGTGATGGAAAAGCCTGTTCTCCCAGCACTTAGGAAGTGGAGGCAGAAAGACTGGGAGTTCAGGCTTATTCTTAGCTGCAAGATATAATTTGAGGCCAGCCTGGGCTGCATAAGACCCTGCCACAAATGAACAAAACAAAAAGAAAGAATCAGCCAACCATTATCATACGTGTTTCTTGTGGCTCCTGGACAGGAAGTGAGGTTAGAGACGAGGTCTTTGTCATCGTCACATCGGAAGCACCCACACGACGTTAGTCACCGAGCTGGAACACGGTTTGGCCAATGCATGCGACCCTCGTCACTCAACGCTATGAGGTGTCTGTGATGGGGAGGGGAGGTATACAGGAGAATTCCTGACTGTCTCTGGAAAAGACGGTGAAGTTGTACTTTTAACTGGTGCCACGGTGCTTTATTTGGCACGAGAAAACTAGGGGTGGAAGCCTGGCCAGGAGGACTTGTTTTGGATGGCCAGGATACAATGCAGTCTTTCCCATAGGACCAGCGGCACCATCGTGTTTCTCCAGCATGGTGTTCCTTTATTGTCCAAGAGCATTGGCTGGTTACCACACTCTCGGGTCAAGCAGCTCCCACAATTCCTCAAAAAAAAAAAAAAAAAAAAAAAAAAAAAACGGCCCATGCATCCAAAACAAGCTGACTCCAGCTCACTGCTGTTGGGAATTCTTCTATCGCTCTTCCCATCCTGCGTGGTGGAAGCCCCATCATCTCCTCCTGTGAATGCGAACGCTGGGAATGTGGGTGTGGTAACAGTGGCCCACGTGCTCACCTGGATTCTGAAGCCCTTTGCCCATTGGCACACTGGTCTTGTCGCCAGGGACATGGAGGTTCTCCTTTGGGGTTCTGGGTCCTCATTAATAAGAGAGTTTAAACATAGGCTCAGAGGGAGGCTCGGGACAATCTAATTCGATTGTATTTAGTGTAAGAGGAACATTGTAGCAGCGTTGGTCAGGTGAAGAGCCTGGCCGCCACGGGAAAAGGTAGAGGAAAGGTCACATCTTCTAAGTCAGACATGGACTTGTTAAAAGCACTCCCAAGGGCGGGGAGGGGTAGTGAGCTGAGGAGAGAACCCCAGTCACCTCACCGTATAGTGGCCATGTGGCTTCCACTGCCCCTCCCTCTGTATTTCCTCGGCGTTTTCTTGGCGAATACTCCGCTTGCTGGATAATCCCGGGGGAAAGAATCTCGGGTTTCTTGTCTTCCCCTGAGCACTGGCTTCTCCCGTGCTAAATCTTGCAGCTCCTTTCTTCCATTCCCAGAGTCTGGTCACATCATAGCCTTGCTGGTCTTGGAGCCTGGATCCTCATATCTCTCAGAATGTAGCCACGGGTGTCTGCTCAGAGCTGTGTGTTTTGCCTGATCTCTCCCAGTCAGGGTCAGGCTCACACTTTCTGCAGCATATTGACTGAGTTAGCCTTTTCATTCAGGGGTCCAGTTGTGAGTCAGTTCTTGGATTGTTAGGCAAAGTGGGTCTGGTGGTATCAGCCCGTACAGAGGGGCTGTGATCCCCATCATAGTGCCACTGTTAGTCAACAGCGTGCTCCGGAGACCCAGAGTCACATCCAGGAATGGTTGAGCAGCCGGTGAGGGGTGGGGGTGGGGGGCTCAAGGTTCGGCCAGCTTGGTCATCTAGGTTTTGTGTAAATCTGTCTGAGCTGGAGTTGAGCCTTGCCAAGTGAGAAACCCAGGGCCATTAGAACATTTGTTTCATAGCCAGAAAAAAAATTTTTTTCTGAAGTTAACGCTCCATTCAACCTGAACGCCGTCTGATCCAGCTGAGTAACCCTGGGTACCTTTGGAGATTTCCTGCAGAAAGAGAAATCCTTTAGCCAGACTGCAGGAACAGCCAAGTCTTAAGCCACTCCATGTGTGTAGTACAAGGTAGAAGGGCACCAGCAAGGGCTTGGCTTTGTTTGTGGACCAGGTGATCACACATTCAGAGCCTCGGACCTGGTGGGGAAGGGGTGGCGCCCAGAGCCAGTTAGCTTAGCGGTAGCCCTGCAGCCCTGCTCCAGACCTGTGCCCAGAGACTTTCCAGGGAGTGCTGGTGTTGCCCAGAGAAGAGGAAGCAGCAGATGCCAGCAACTGTCCTGAGCCCCCTTGGGATGAGCCCGCCACCCAGAATGCAGAGCCCCTCTGCAGTTAAAACGGCAGGAAAGATCCAGCAGGCACAGCTGCTTATGTGTGTGACCCTAGCACATGGGAGGCTCAGGCAGGAGGATTACAAGTTTGAGGACAACCTTGACTACGTAGCAAGATCTTATCTCAAAAGAGAAAAAACAAACCCATCCCCGCCCCCCAAAATCTAGAAGAAACCCGCCCTTTAAAAACCTATAACATCTCTGCCCAGCTCAGTGCAGCCGGGATCATAATCAGGCTAAACAAATGTACGGTTTCTCTTGTGCTAGAAGCAGACACAGCATTGGGCCGTGTCAGCAGCCAGCCTGGGCGGGAGGCATGCCGCTGGGTAACGTACACCCTCCAAGTTCATTGTCTCCTATAGAAACAGGGCCTCCAAGTTCATTGTCTCCTATAGAAACAGGGCCTCCAAGTTCATGGTCTCCTATAGAAACAGCCTCCAAGTTCATTATCTCCTATAGAAAGAGGGCCTCCAAGTTCGTTGTCTCCTATAGGAACAGGGCCTCCAAGTTCGTTGTCTTCTATAGAAACAGGGCCTCTGAGTCCATTGTCTCCTGTAGAAACAGCCTCTGAATTCATGGTCTCCTATAGAAACAGCCTCCAAGTTCATTGTCTCCTATAGAAACAGGGCCTCCAAGTTCATTGTCTTCTATGGAAACAGGGCCTCCGAATTCATTGTCTCTTATAGAAACAGGGCCTCCAAGTTCATTGTCTTCTATGAAAGCGGCCTCCGAATTCATTGTCTCCTATAGGAACAGGGCCTCCAAGTTCATTGTCTTCTATAGAAACAGGGCCTCTGAGTCCATTGTCTCCTGTAGAAACAGCCTCTGAATTCATGGTCTCCTATAGAAACAGCCTCCAAGTTCATTGTCTCCTATAGAAACAGGGCTTCTCTCTGCCAAGATGACCTCACGGATGGCCACTTCTTATCCAGGATTTCCCCCCAACAATGTCCCCCTGAAGATCCTCAAAGAGCCCCGCGGCAGAAATGACCAGTGAATCCATGGCTTCTCTTGGCTTCTGCATGTCCACAGCTTCACCACTCAGGGCTTCCTGATGACTCCCGCGTGCGCGCCGCCTCTGGAGAGCTCTGGGAGGGCAGACAGCCACCTCTTGGCTAAGGGACCCTGCAGACAAGGCCAGACACAGGCCTGCTATGCCTCACCCATCCCTCTTCATTCTCAGAAAAACCAACTCTTTGCTGGCATGGGGCTGGGCTGGGGACACCATGGGCCCGGAGTCGGGGATGAGAAAAAGCTCAGGAGACAGAGACATGCATTTTTCAAGGCTCTAGGAACTATGGGAGCAGATGGGCTGTAGGATCTAATTTTGATGCCAGGAACATGTTTCTGTATAAAGTAAATATTTTCCCACTGTGGATCTCCGGTGAGCGTGTTAGGGAAGCATATTTCCTAAAGATGCAAATAAGTCTAGTCAGAAATAAATATTGAATGGAAACTTCAAAGCCTCTAGATTTCTCCAGTTATAGACCCTGAAGATTTCTGTCCAAACAAGCAGGCACTCACAGGTAGATGAAGGCTTGGGGAGGGGCAGGTGCAAGGTTGAATCAAGGAAGGATATACTCATATTTTAGTCTCTCTCTCTCTCTCTCTCTCTCTCTCTCTCTCTCTCTCTCTCTCTCTCTCTCTCCAGGGGGGGGGCAGGGTGAGGGAGAGATCAAGGGAGCATGGAGAGTCATAATGACAAAAGAATTACTGTTACGTCTGTCCAGACGGTGGTTTTTTTTCTATCTTCATATGTATTTTGTATTTGTCATAGACACATACTATATCATACATTATTTATGGGCTGTGGAGGTGACATTTCAATACACGTGCATATTGCAGTGTGTAATGATTTGACTAATTGGCATGTTCATTACCCCAGAAATGTGTCGTGCCTTTGTACTGTGAACATCCAAAATCCTCTCCACTAACCGTTTCGAAGTCACGATTAAGTGTCCGTAAAACACACTTGCCTCCTGAGCTGTGAACCTTGGGGAGTGGGTCCTCCTCCGACCAGCCACACCCTGAGCCGCTTACCAACATCTCCCTACACCCTTCCTCCCAGTTCCAAGGCCTGGGGTGTTTTCAGCACACACACCCCTTTCTGTTGCAGATCTCGCCTTGCAGATTTTTTTACCAACTGCCAGCCAGAGTCAAGGTCTGTTAGCAGCTGTCTTAAGGAGAACTACGCAGACTGTCTCCTGGCCTACTCAGGACTGATTGGTAAGACCAGGGGAGGGGGCGGGGGGATGGGGGAATGACTCTGGATTACAGATCTGTCTACTGCAGCTTTCCGTGTCTACACAAGAGACAACTTCCCAGTAGCCTCTGCACTGGGGGAAGGGAAGAAGGGGGGAGGGAGGGAGGGGATGGATGGATGGATGCAGGAGAAAAAAGAATTGGGGTAATCATGGAGCAGGAAGGCTACATATTCTAAAGTGAATGAAGCGTCTCCACTGGGGACCTGGCCAGACATTTTAACAAAAGCAGGGGAACCCCTGGCCACTGGGAGAAGAGATAAAGTCAGACACAGTCAATCAAATAAAGGAAATGTAGAGAGCGGGAGCTTGAACGTCAAAGGAGCTGCAGCCAGGAAATGGCCCCTTGGAAATGGATTCTCCAACACTGTTAGGCTTGCCGCCATTATTGTTCTTGGTCATTTGACTCCTGGCGTACAGGGGGTTGTTTCATTATTTTTTTCCCCCTGTAAGTAACTGTTTGAAAGCAGAAACAGTATTTTCTAGTTTGTGGAGGCCTGTGGCGTTAGGAGAGCCATATTCTCAGTATTCTGGAGAACAGTGAGATTAAATAGGCCTCCTGTGTATGGAGGAAAAATCCAGAAAGAGGCTGACTCGCATCTGGGGTAAATAGTGCTGGCTGGAAGGCGGGTGTTCCCGTGTGCCGGGGACAGCTGACGCTGCTCTGTCAGGGCTTCCATCACAGTAACATTGAAGGCTGTGGAGGGTGAGAGAAGTCACAGCTGTCACTTGGTTCTGGCTTAGTGGCATCTCCCTCCCAGGGTCCCCATCAGGGTCATACACATCACCAGCAGGAACTCCCTCTCCTCAGAGTGACAGTGCAGGCCAACCTCATCCCCAGAAGGCTCGTCCCCAGAAGGGCCTTTGGTTTAAGTGAGAGTGTGTTTAATGCGAAGCTGCTTCCAGTTCTCGACACCCCAGCCTCTCCCGACTTTTTGGAAGGAGTCCTGTGCTCCCACGTGTCATAAATACCTATGTATCCATGCTCTCCTTAATGAGGATCTTGGTCTCTTACCTGGGGTTACATATGAAATGGTGGAGTTGGAGGAATAACAGAAAGCGATTAAGGCGTATCCACTGTTTAATAAGGAAGGCTGGAGCCAGGGATGCTCCCAGAAGACAACGTTAAGTCTCTGCAGATGCAATCACTGTTAGTGCTGGGCTCTGTGTCCTTCCAGGAGTTCATGCTCATTAACTCCCTTGTGAGCTGCCAAGGAGAGGGACTGCCAGCTTGTCTGTGAGATCATCCCTAGGCTTGGCAGACCCTTCTGTCCCTCAGGATGATGAAATGGAAGGAACAAATGGTGGATGGAGGGTGTTGTGCAGGCCAAGAAGTATTTCTCTCCTGGGTCTGGGTCTCTCCGACATGGTTTCCCGAGTCAATGGTGCCTAACTTCTGCACAGAGCTTGCTTCTCTTCCACGCATGAGGGATCCATGGTAGCACCTGAGGTCAATGGCTTCGGCTTCACCATTCTCTTTCCAGGTCCTGGTGAGTTAGACCTTCCTGTATGGTGCAGATTAAATTCTAATGCTAATAATGAGATTTCCAAGTTCAAAGAAAGTAAGACCAGTAGGGCAGCAACGATTATATGCCCTTGACCCCAGAAGAGCTTCCAGAAACTATTCTGTTTATAGCCAAGCGCATCCTCTGGATGGCCCATTTCTTCTTCCTTCCACAAAAGCAACTAAAAACAGGAAGTTCTTGGCATCCATGGGTGTGGCCTGGTGTGAGCCACCCAGGAGAAGACATTTGGGTTGTATTAAATATGAATGCATTGTGTGTTTCTCCCAGTGGAGAACTCGCCAGAAAAGCTGCAGTCATAAGCAGGGAGGCCCACACAGCATCTCTGTGGGAACCGTTGCAGATACAGAGCATACTTCAGGAGCCCTTGACTGGGGAAGTTCCACTGTTTTGTTTTTCCCGTTTTTCTCCCGTTCTTTTATTTATTTTTTCGAATGGGTTTCCTGTAGCTATGGATGACCTTGAACTCCTGGTCCTCCTGCTCCCACCTCCCAAGTGCTGGGATTACAGGTGTGTACCACCAAGCCTGGTTTTCTGTGATTCTGGGAAATAACCTGCAGGCAGGCTCGACAAAACACTCTACCAGCTAAGCTATACTCCCAGCCCTATTTCCATTTCTTTCACACCTTGGATGGGTTTATTTAAATCAGCGGAGAATCTGGGAAAGGAAGCCTTTTTCATATATACATTCAGGATGTGGGGACCTTATTGGAGGCATCTACACTCCTTCCCTGTATGACCCTAAAGAAGCCATTTGCCCCCAAGGAAACTGGATTAAATGCCTTAAAAGAATTCTTAAGCTATGTGCACCCAGTACTGTTTATGAAGATTAATGGCATTTTCAAGAAAATGCAAGGGATTTGGCAACTCATGCATCCTAAGTTAATTCTCGCCTTCTCCATGACATCCATACCATTTGTGCAGGAATAAAATACCCTAAGTACAGCCCAAGGAGTTTGCTTTTAATTTTTAAAGTAAGTGTATAAATTATTCTATGTGCTCAAGATAAATCGCCAAGAAAATGCACCGCGTAACATAATTTCCCACCCAGCAAACACAGCGTTTGTAATCAGCCGTGGCATTTCCGCTGCCGTCGGACCAACATTTGTTTCCTTTTAGGCCGCAGAAAAGCCCGTGTCACCACGGAAGAACGACGTAACATGCTTTGTCTTTTTTCCCCTTTCAGGCACAGTCATGACCCCCAACTACATAGACTCCAGCAGCCTCAGTGTGGCCCCGTGGTGTGACTGTAGCAACAGCGGCAACGACCTGGAAGAGTGCTTGAAGTTCCTGAATTTTTTTAAGGACAACACCTGTCTCAGTGAGTTCTTGAGAAATGAGAAGCGTGCCGGTGCTTCCGCGTTTCCCTCTCTGGGGGAAAGCTCTCTCTGTTATGTTCCGCCCACCCCCTTCCCTCTCCCCCTTTCCCTGATTGGCCCCTCGCCCTCCTCCCCCTTTCCCTGATTGGCCCCTGGTGGCCCTCCCTCCTCCCCCTTTCCCTGATTGGCCCCTGGCCCTCCTCCCCCTTTCCCTGATTGGCCCCTGGTGACTCTTACTTCATTTGGCACACACTCCGGGTGACAACGGCAGGGAGCCACACCGAGTGATGAACCTGAGTGCTGCCAAGGCTGCTCCCAGAGGCCTGTGAGGACAAGATTATTCAAATAACCGAGGACGTATTATTATGTGGGAAAGAATACATCTGCCCGCAGATCGAATTCTGATCTTGGCAGTTCCGTGTAGAGTTCATTCCCAGGTTCTGAAAGCCTGGTAGGAATGCACAATGTGAGAGGCTCAAACAAAGTGGAGAGGACAGGCCTCCAAGGAACCTGCGGGGAAAATGAGGATGTTGACGCCAGCAGTCCCTTGCATCGTCAGGACAGGCTCTCCGAGCGGGGCGATGGATCTCTCTTGATGGGGGAATCTGGCCATGCCACAGAAACGCTCAGGATGCAGGTTTATCTTGGGAGTTGAGCCGAGCCGCTGTGAGCAGGGTGGCTCGTCTTTAAGAACAGGCTGGTTACTGTCGTGGTACTCTTTAGGTAATTTAGAATCAGGTTTGACAAAGGGATAGGGATTTACGGAGGTGAGCCCCGGGCATCCACCAGCAGAACTTCAAAAGCAGGGACACCTGGTCTCCCTGGCACACAGCTCCATGGTGGGCGGGCATGCTCTGCGCAACTCTCCAGCTGAGACACACATAATTCATGTTGTAGGGGATATACAGTTTCATCCTCTGTACTCCACACCGGCCACATGAGAACCCTAGGAGACGCAGGCGTCATATCCGCATGACAGCTGAGTAAAAGAGAAGTATCCTTATAGACCCGGAGTGGTAGAGTTACAATCTAAATCTTTGTGCATCCCCCTGACTCCCAAAGACCTTGCTCATGGCTGGTATTGAAGGAACTACTGTTAGAAGTGTAACCCTGAACATCTGGGGCCAGGTCTGACTTCTTAAAACAGGCTTCAAGGTTCAGCCATGCCCCTGGAGAACTCTGTCCTCAAGTGATGAATTCTGTATAATGCTATATGCTTACTGGCTTTTGAAGAACTAGCTGGCAATTTGCCAACTATTTGGAAAACATCTCACCAGCATTTCACTAAAATTCCCTCATCATGAAGCGGTCTCCTGTACCAATTCATCCGACGGTACCATGTGCTTTCTCTTCTAAGAGGTTCAGTGTGGCTCGATTTATGTTGAGGTCTTTGATCCATTTGGACTTAAGTTTTGTGCATGGCGATAGACATGGATCTATCTGCAGTCTTCTACATGCCAGCATCCAGTTATGCCAGCACCATTTGTTGAAGATGCTTTCTTTTTCCCATTGTATAACTTTAGCTTCTTTGTCAAAAATCAGGTATTCATAGGTGTGTGGGTCCATATCAGGGTTTTCAATTCGATTCCATTGGTCTACCTGTCTATTTTTGTGCCGATACCAAGCTCTTTTCATGACTACAGCTCTAAATTGGAGCTTGAAGTCAGGGATAGTGATCCCTGAAAGTTCCTTTATTGTACAGGGGAAACCAGCATAGGACTGTTCCAGATCCCCTGAACGTGGATGTCAGTTTGGAGGTCTGGTAAATCTATGGGGCCTCTGGCAGTGGATCAGTATTTATCCCTAGTACACAAATGGACTTTGGGAGCCCACTCCGCATAGAGGGTTACTCTCTCAGCCTAGACACACAGGGGAGGGTCTAGGCCCTGCTCCAAAAGATATGACAGACTTTGAAGATCCCCCATGGAAGGCCTCACCCTCCCTCGGGGGCAGAATATGGGGTTGGTGGGAGGCAGGATAGGAAGGGAGGGAGAGTGTCCTTGTCCTTATCTCTAATTTAAATAAGAAAGGAGAAAAAATCCCCTCATCATCTCCTCCATGAAAATGTAAAGCCCAATTTGCTTGTTAGGTGCTTCAAACCATGAAGCTGCAATGTCTTAGGTTGGTCCTCCTAAAAATTAGGATGGTCTTTTGAGTTCTTAGATAGCATCCAGACCCACAGAAGGTGCCATAGATATGGAAGCATTTCCTGAGACATTGGGTATACCAACACGTTCCAAATGGACCTCTTGTTTGGAATTCGTTTTATGCGTTATTATTCTTTTCTTGTGCTCTTCTGGTTGAAGTCAAGTCTAAGCAAAAGTAGAGCAATGGAAAATTTGTTCCCCAGTGAGAAATTAAAGTTGTCCTTCTTTGGCAACATTTTGGTGAAGGGGAGAATAGCCTTATTAATGACGTTTAAATGGAAACAAATGTCAAAGGCAGCCAACAGCTTTTGTAATCATTCCATTTATCCTGGTTTGGATGGGGTAGAGGCCGTGTCTTGCAAAAGGGCCTGACCTGGAAGCTGCTACACTTTCTGAATGGGACCCATACATAGAAACTTCATTCCTCCTCCTTCCAATTAAGCCAGACTTCTCTCAAATCTCCCCACCATCAACATGACTGCAGTAGGTTGTGTGGTGGCCGTTTGGGAATGGGGGACGCGGTCAGATTTTTAAGCCAGTTCATGGCAGGTGGCCATATGGGGTGGGAGGAGACTAAGGTGAAGAGGGAGTTGAGACAGAGCTTGTGTCCCGAAAGTAGAAGCATCCTTCTCCCAGGGGGCCTCCCTGAGCTGTTTGACCTATGTATAGTGGAAGCTTTTGTTTTTTTTTTTTTTTTTTTTTTTTTTGCCTTCCTGTTTGGAAGCTCTGCTTGTGGGTGTGGCTTTGGTCTTCAGTTCAGTTGCTGTCATCCCTGGAATTTAGAAGTTAGATCCCATCTGTAGCACTTCAGCAAGTCAGTGAGAGGACAACTGAGCTCATGGATGAGGGCGGCCCACCTGGGAGAGCCAAGGGCCGTCTTCACACTCGACAACCCTCTCCTTGACCCTCTAGTGTCTATCAAGGAAGAGCAGAGTGCTGTGTTGTTCCGCGCCCTGGGATCACTTAGGGAACCTGGCCCTTGTGTCTCCCTTAAACCACAGCTCCTGCCCAAACCACAAGCTGCGTTTGCTTGGTTTGGAGGCTGTCTCTTACAACCCCCCCCAAATGTAGAGTCAAGAAAACAAGCTTCCAATTTTGCTAAACTCGAAGGATAACAATTTTGAAGCAAAATGTCACTTCTAAGGGGGAAGATTAGAGCTTCAGTTACCCTGTCTTGTGTGTCCAAAAGTGCCAAGTAAGCATCATATATTAGCAATCTGCACTTCCAGGTCCCAAATGAAGGAGTTTGATTTCTTATACAATGAATGTGAAATAAAAAAATTCCTAAATCCAGGGCAAATCCCCGAAGACCTGATTAAAAACTGTTTTTTATTCATTTTGGGAAGGGAACAACACACAACCAATTTACTCTTGCCATAAAAACAATCTAATCCCATGAAATTATAATAAGCTTTGAAAGTTTCACGTTTCAAACTTTTCATTTAGACAGGGCTGTGCCTATCTAATTATGCAGATTCTCTCTGGAAGACTGGAAGCAGAAAGGAGAAAAATAACCACACTGAAATTTTCACTAGATATTGATGAGGTTTAAGGTACATTCTTCTTCTAAGGGAACTGGCTGCGTTCCGCTGCCAAGTGGGTGTTAGAGTTGCCTCAGCTTCAGGGTAAAGAAAAAGACACTGGCTAATTTCCACCCAGTGTGGAGTTCTGACATGGCATAGCTATTCATTTTTTTTTCTCTTGGAAAAACGGTGTGGCTGTGATGCTACCTCTGAGTGTAAGGATGTCTTTTAAAGGGCTCTTGATAAAGCCTTGCCTTGTTTCTGGTATAGTACATGCCTCACTCAGTACTTAATGATATTTGGGCACCTAACCCAAGGGATTGGTTCTCGGAACCAGTCAGCTGATTGGGTAGAGGGGTGTATGGAAAGATGGAGGGGGGAGGGATGGGAGGAAGGACGGAGGAGTGGATGATGGGAAGGTGGAGGGGTGGAGGGTTGGAGGGGTTTGTTCTGAGACATCCAGGGCTATATTAACCAGAATTTCCCTCCCACCTCTCTGGCTGTTGGCATCCTGCATGCTGTGTTTGCTGCTGGCCTCTGAAATGGGGTTTTATTACGTTTTCCTGCAGAAAACGCAATTCAAGCCTTTGGCAATGGCTCAGATGTGACCATGTGGCAGCCAGCCGTGCCAGCACAGACCCCTACTGCCACCACTACCACTGCCTTCCGGGTCAAGAACAAGCCTCTGGGGCCAGCAGGGTCTGAGAATGAAATCCCCACACACGTCCTGCCACCTTGTGCAAACCTTCAGGTGAGAAGAGGGTCTGGCTTTCCTATTGGAGTTGGCTTCTGGGAGAATGCGTGCTCATTGTTCTCCATAAAGAATCTTTTGTGTTCACGCGTGTGTTCATACGTATGGCGTGGGAGGGTCGGCCTTCCTCCGTGCTGTGCGGGTCAGGCTACTTGTGAACTTTGGGGATTGCCTCTGCCTCCTGTCTGGCTGCTCCGAGTGCCGGGATTGCGGGTCCAAGCCACCGTGTCTGACCCTATGTGGGTTTCTGGGGATCTGAACTCGGGTCTTCAACCCAGGTACGGTGAACACACCTCACCTATTGAGCCATCTGTCTCCCCAGCCCAGGTGGGATGTGGAAGTTGCATTTTGAACGCTGTAAGTGGCGACTGTGACATCACATAGAGAGAAGAAAAAGATGGGGCTTTGGAGCTAACTGCCTCTCCCTGAAGATGTGACCTTTGGTCAAGACTCTATAAAAGGAGGAGTCTGGGTAGATATACCACTAAGGATATATATTTTTAGGTGGGGACAGCGGGGGTGTTAGTGTAGAGTTGGGTTAGCTATCTATGTCTTCTGTGTTCTTGATAAACAGTAGCGTATCAGAGAGGCAGTGTGTCCTTGGCTTGTCGCCATCAGAGCCTTCGAACAACGTGGGATGTTGAACTGTCGCAGGAGACAATCAGAGGCAGTGTTCCCAGCTGCTAAGTGGAGTCCCGGAGAGGTTGGTTATTTACAAGGCCCCCAAAGAACAAAAAGCCCCCCAAACGCTATCCCAGAGTAAGAGGAGATGCACAGTGCCATGGGAAACCTTGTGTGTACACGGAGCACAGTGGGGACGGCCAAGAAGCTTCTTGGAAGACTAACCCCAGTGCGCCTGAGCTGAAGCAAGGTGTAAACACGGCATTTTCCCATCTTCAGCCAGAGGTAGGGCTTGTTCTGTGGTTCTACTGAGTTTTCCTAGTAGTCAGTATTCTACTGCCAACAAGACACTAGTGATTTGGAGGTTTGCACGGGCTTGTGTGCCCTTAGACTCCTTGGGTGCGCTTGTGGTGGCTGATGGGGTTAAGGACAGCTACCGTGACATGATGAGGTCCAGCTCATGTATCTGGGGACACGGGCTTCTGGAGAGGGCGGTTCCTGTTCAAAGTCTGCAGAGCCAGTGGGCCGCAGAAGCAGTGCCGGGAACCCAAGAATGTCTTCTGACCGTGGTTGCTCCTGTGCGCTGAGGGAAGAGGCTAACCCCATGGTGGCTTCTGCCTTCTGCCATGCCAGGGGAATGCGTGGTTAGTCTGTTCGCCATCGTTCTGATTGTTACAGGCTCTCATGTGACCCCTTAATGACCTTGAACTTGCTATGTGTGTAAAGGGGGTTCATAGAAATGTGCTGCCATGCCCACTGCATGCAGAGCTGAGGGCGGAACCCAGGACTTTGTGTGTGCTGCTTTCCAAGCCTTTGTGATGGGACCTCCCTCTTAGCACAAGAGTGCCTCTCCATTTCCACCTCCCTGGCAAGGGGGAGCCCCTCTGGAGCGTTCTTGTAAATGCCTTCTCCATCCACAAGCTCTCTTAAAAAGTGTTGGGCCACCGGGCGGTGGTGGCGCACGCCTTTAATCCCAGCACTCGGGAGGCAGAGGCAGGTGGATCTCTGTGAGTTTGAGGCCAGGCTGGTCCGACAGCCTCCAAAACAATACAGAGAAACCCTGTCTTGTAAAACCAAAAAAAAAAAAAAAAAAAAAAGCGTTGGGCCGTTTTTTCCCATCTAATCCATATGACGTTGCCTCACTCTCAGTGCTCTTCGTGTGAGCGTTGGTCTCTGTCTCGTGGTGCCTCCGGATCCTCACAGCTTCAGACGTAATTCATTCACTGAAGATAGCAGGGAGAAATCAGATCACACAGCTCAGCAGCAAGCCCAGCGTTCTTTGACTTTCCAAACCGCCTTCCGACCCCTTACCGTCTCCAGATCCCCCCTTTTGCAGAGCGTCGGATCTGGGAGGCAGTGCAGGGAATGGTCAGTGGCAGCTGCTGCTCCATTGTGCAGCAGGGCCCTGAGTCTGAAAGAGGAAGGGATTCCTTGAGTCTCCCAGGCTGGTGGAGGCGGATCTAACACCGGGAATGGCAAGATCAGTCTCCTCTCTGTTTCTGGTAAGGGCTCTGGGCCCGTCTCCTCCCTTTCCTGCTGCACACACAGTCAGCCTTTGCTCTCTCTATGCCTCCCACCCTCGGATTCCAGCCCGATGAAGGCTAGGACCCCGTCATCAAGGCTGACAAGGATGGGCCAGGCATGCTTTCCGGTCAGTAAGGGAAGGAGCGTGTGCTTCTGCAAAATCTGCAGCATTCTGTACACATTCAGACACACAAAGGGTGGCCCAGGTAGCCACCCACAGTCCATTATCCAGTTTCCTTGGACTCAGAAGCTTTGTAGACCTGAGCATTCGAAAGCTGAAATAGAAATCCACTCCTCAGCGAGCAGAGTCTTAACAGGCAGGATGCACCTTGCCCGCAGTTTCGGAAGGTCAGACAGGGGTGACTTGGTGACATCTCAGCTTGGAAACCATGGCACTCCAGGTCCCCCGCTTGTTGCTGTCCCAGCTCCTGACTTGGGTTCTTGTGGTGCACATCTGCCCTCCAACACATGCCCAGCCAACCCTCCCGGCCGGGAGGATCCCGTGTACCGCCGCACAGTTGTCCTGGCAACGCCAAGCACACCCGAGTTTCATCCCCCAGAAATCACGCCTTTCCACTCCCAGCGTTAGCTAGCGTAAGAGCTCTGGTTTGTAAATAGAGGGACAAAGGTAAAATTAAAGTGTGATGTCTGTCTGTCTCTCAGGGTTGCCTCTGTTGACTTCTCCACCAAGAGGGCTGAAGGAATTGAGTTGGCTAGGATGGGAGACGGCCACACCTCTCTTGCTGTGATACGCTCTGGGAGAGGAGGTCTCTGGGGGGGGGAGTTCACCGAACCTGTCTTTACACACCTGAAATGTAAGGTGAGGGTGTTAGCACTAAGCCTTGTCTTCCTCATCCAGTGAGCTCTAGTATTGCCTTCGCTGCCGGGCAACGGGGTGGAGTGGATTATCTGTCACGACATGCAAAAATGACCGTCGTGACGACGGGTCCTTAGGCAGCTGGTCACACAATCCATCTGTCACAAAGATCCATCCGGTGCTGCTGGGCCTTGCTCCGGAATGGGGGTCCGGGGCATGCTAAGGGGTGCTGGCGTAAGACGGAAATGGCAGGGGGGGACGGTAGCACATCCCATGCTTTCAGATATGTCACCCCTTTCTCCTCAGAGCACCCCTGTGGGGCAGACATTACAGGCATCCCTTTCCTGAGGACAGTGACTTAACCAAAGTCAGCGTGTCTTTGGCGGGCTCGTCCCGAGGCCGGTGAGTGTATCGTGACACTTGGACAGCTGCGTCTTTCTGCATCAGGAATGGACAGTGACAGGATGTAGTGGACAGGGAAAAAGGAGGGGAGGCTGCCCTAGTTCCTGCTGAAGGTCATTCCAAGAACGAAGTGGCAAATTTGAAGTGCATACTTCGTTCAGGGCTACTCCTGGCTTCAGGTCCAGGACACAGGGTACGGACGGCTGAAAGTTTGCCAGTGGAAGTTCTGTAGCTTCGTGACCCCTTTAGGGTGACTTGCATGAAGGATAATTTGAGGCCACACAATGGGGGTTGATGACAGTGACAAGTGAAAGGCCTTCACCCTGAGAACATGGTTCTTCTGGCTGATTTAGGGCTCAGCTCGGTGCAGGGCTCCCAGGAGGCCCATTCTCCTCAGATACCTGTCTTTCCTTCGTGCCTGCACGGCTGTAGATGAATTACCTTTTGCCGGGGCGGGTTCCTAGAAATACCTTCGAAGGGTGTTTGTCCCTGCTGTCTGAGTCATGGCTCAGAATAGAACTTACTTAAACCGATGTGGGATCCGTTGGTTAGCTGATCTGGAGACAGTCAAAGACCTTGGCAGCCTTAAAGATTGCCTCCTTGGAGACGCGCCCTCTTGTAATATTTTTAAATACAAAGCAACATGGGAAGACTCCGTGGGACTGAAGGATTTGTCTTAACATTTGAGATACGCTCCTCCTTGGAAGGAAAGGAAGAGAAAAAACATATTTTTGTTTTCCAAAAGTCTGCCTATAGCCAACAGCAGACCTGCGTGGGGAAATGGGTGACCCTGGGCCTGGTGATCATGGGCTCATGGATGGCTGCTGGGGTTCTACTATAAAAAAATAAAAGTTGATTGATTAGTATAAAATGTCAAGGAGATGTCCAAGTGTTGGCCCCCTGAGGTGATAAAATACCGGGTTTGGGGTAACCCACCAAGCTCCCCTAGAAGGACTAATTGGCAGTCATAGTTGGAAACAAGCCTCATGCAAGCTGTGCTGTTGTTAGCCTGTCCCTCTGACCTGTATGAAACGGTCACACAAGAAACAAAGAAACCTTAATAATTCTACAAATTGCTTCATCATCCGTACCCTCGAGTGGCCTGGCAGCTGGAAACGCTTCGAGTATTTAAACCAAAAGAGTGTGCTTGTCGCTGATTTAAGGTAAACATCTCTGGAGGTTGTAGGTGGATATTGGAAACGGTTTGGAATCACTGTGCTCTCTTAGGGCCAGTGCGGCCCCACCCCCTCCAACCCAATAAAGACCCCTTGGTGGTGGTACCCAGAGTCCCCTAGGATCTAAATCTAGCCGCAGTAGCATTGAATCTGGGTATCTGTATGGGAGACGTTCCCAAGACTGCTAAAACCCGCACGCTATGTGCATGCTTGTTGTGACTGCAAGTGAGTGTGTATGAGCGTGCCTGTGTAGGGCAGAGGTCAATCTCCAGGGTTACTCCTAGGACCATTTCCTAGACAGGGGATAACACTTTACCTGGAACTTTCAGGTTAGGTTTGTCAGTGAACCCCGGTTGACTCTTACTTCCCTGGTGCTGGAATGGCAAGCGTGTGTCTGCCTACGTGCAAGAAAGCTCTGGTGACCGAACTCAGGTCCTTCGTGCTTGCATGGCATGAGTTTA